GCATGCATGTAGTATACTCATATACATGCAGACAAGACATGTACATAGAAGTAAATAAATAAAAAAATAAGCCCGGTATGGTGGTGCACGCCTTTAATCCCAGCACTCAGGAGGCAGAGGCAGGCAGATCTTTGTGAGTTCAAGGCCAGCCTGGTCTACATAGTGAGTTGATGTCAGCTGAGACTACAGGGAGGCCCTGTCACAAAAAGACAAAAAATAAATAAATAAATAAATAAATAAAGCAAAGTATGGGCCTAGGGATGTAGCTCAGTTGGTGGAGTGCTTGCCTAGCATGCAGGAAGCCATGGGTTCCATCCCTAGCACCTCATAAAATCAGCTGCCTACAATCCCAGCACTAAGGAAGTGAGGCAGGAGGATCAGAAGTTCAAGGTCATTTTCAAATACATAGTGAGTTTGAGGCCTGCCTAGCCTATGTGAGACCCTATTTCAAAACAAAAACAAAAAGAAAATGGCCCTGTGTTGCTCAGTATATCACATTTAAAAATAAAAGGCTGGAGAGATGGCTCAGTGGTTAAGAGCACTGACTGCTCTTGCAGAGGCCCCAGGTTCCATTCTCAGCTCCCACATGGCAGTTAACAACCATCTGTAACTCCAGTTCCAGGGGAATCCAAAGCCCTCTTCTGACCTCTGCAGACATTGCAGGACAAACGTGCACTTACATACATGTAGGCAATACAGTCATGCACATAAAATAAAATAGTAAAATATTTAAAAATAAATAAATAGGGGAACTGGAGACATGGCTCAGTGGTTAAGAGCACTTGCTGCTCTTGCAGAGGACCCAGGTTCAGTTCCCAGCACCCACATGGCAGCTAACAACCCTCTGTGGGCACTGCACACACATGATGCACTTTACATACATGCAGGCAAGAGGTTGTTATACATAAAAAATAGAATAAAGCCAGGTGTGGTGGTGTATGTCTTTAATCTCAGCACTCGGGAAGCAGAGGCAGGTGGCTCTCTGTGAGTTCAAGGCCAGCCTGGTCTACAAAGCAAGTTCCAGGCCAGCTGGAGCTACAGGGAGACCCTGTCTCAAAAAGACAAAAAAGAAGAAAAAAAAAAAGAATAAGAAGGAAACTATTTCTTGTTCCTGCCTTTGAAGACTTCTGTGACAAGGTAGTGGGTGGTAGGACAGGGTGGAAAGGTGGAAAGACCAGTGGAAAACCAGCTTTGTAAGCCAAAATGTGGTCCAGGCCCACAGCTGGGCAGTCTAGTCAACTGCATGCTAGTTAGGTATGGTGAATCATAGGCCCTCCTTGGGGCCCATTTGTCCATTTGCACAATGGCTCAATAATGACATTTACCTCGATTGGGTTTCATGAGGACTTGCTCGAGTGCAATGACTCTTGTTGCTATCTTGATTTTTTTGTCTGTTGATTTGTAGTTATATGAAGGGTAAGAGACAGACACTAAATTTGCCCCATGAGTGCTGGACTCATAATGATTAGATTTGAGATTTTTGAGTACTTACTGGAACTGCACTAAGTACCTTATATGTACTACATCATTTAATTCTCCAGCCACCCCATTATTTATCTGCATATTACAGGCATAAATCTAAAGTTTCATCCACCCACTCTCTCATCTGCTGAATTGCTCACCAAATCCTGTGACTATGAGGTGCTCAGTAGCCTGTGTTTTAGGCTGTTCCCCACCTGTCAGCACATCTGGCTCTCCTGAGCCAGCCAAATGTCTAGGCAGGTCACAAAGCTCCCAGGCCAGACACCACACCCTGTTTTAGCCCAGCCTGACCAGCTTCCCTACCATGCTACACAGCTCAACAGCTGCCAAGTGCTGTCATTCTTCATCCTGCACACCCAGTTGTTTGGGCACTGACAAATGCCAGGCAGGTGACGTGCCTTGGTTTCCACCAGGCACGTCTCTCTTACCTTCCAGGTATAGGGTAGGTATGGGGCAGGGAGCAGGGAAGAAGCAGGGAGTGGCTCAAGTTCAACAGAATTGAGCCTAGACTACAGCTGAATCAGGGCATTCACCTAACTAAAACCAGGACTCAGGACAGAATGCTGGGGACACAGGTAGCCAGGAGATGAGTTTTTCTCTCACTGAATCTCCTTGTATTCAGAACTATCCAATCAAGACCCTTCAGTAGACTGGGAAACAAAAGTAATCAAAGCAGGGTCTTCTAGACAAAGATTAAGGACTTAATTCTCATGGGAATTCATTGTTGGTGCTGTCCAGAGACAGCTTTTGGACTCAAATAATTGAAGCTCAAAATTGTGTGTGATAGTGGCTGGAATCCCAGTACCAAGGAGGCAGAGGCAGAAGGATGGCTACAAGTTCAAGGCCATCCTAGTCTACATAGTTCCAGGCCAATCACAGTTATCTAGGTAGACTCTATCTCAAAAAACAAGCAAACAGGAGATGACTCAGTGGTTAAGAACACTGACTGTTCTTGCAGAAGACCCAGGTTTGAATCCCGGCACCCACATGGCAGCTAACAGCTCTCCGTAACTCCAGTTCCAGGGGATCCAACAGCCTCTTCTGTCCTCCGCGGGCACTGCACAACACGGGTGCACTTACCTACACACAGGCAATACACGCATACACATAAAATAAAAATAATACATAAAATATTTTTTAAAAAAGCAAGCAAACTAAAACCCAAACCTAAACCTAATAATAATGTTGAAACTTAAATTCAGAATTCAAAATCAGAGGTTAACCTGCCCCAATCCTCAGCATGCCAGCCCTCTATCCTGTGCTGTCCATCTTTGTTTTGTTCTGTGTGTATAGATTGTGCATGTGTTCAAATGTGTGTGCTCACACATATGTCTGCTCTGGTGCATGTATCCATGTGTGTGTATGTAGGTTCAAGGTTGAAGTCAATAGTCTTCTTTGATCACTCCTCCTTCCTCTTTGAGGAAGGGTGTCTCATTTGAACCCAGAGCACATCCATACAGCAAGTTTAGCTATCCAGCTTACTCCTGGGTTACTCTGCCTCCACTTTCTGAGCACAGGCAATCCAAGCAGGCCACCACCCAACTGGCACTTAGGTGGATTCTGGGGATCGCAACTCCTGTTCCATGTTTGCATGGCAATTCACTGAGTAATCTCCTTAGCCCATCCACAGTACTTTTTAAGACAGGGTCTCTAACTGAACATGGGGCTCACCGATTAGCTAGACTGGTTAGTCAGAGCCCCAAGGACCTACTGCTCCCCCATCCTGGGCCACAGGCTTTGGTTTTGTGTTTAGACAGGGTCTTACTATGTAGCCCTGGCTGGCCTGGAACTCAAGAGATCCACCTGCCTCTGTGTCCCAAGTGCTACCACATCCAGCTAGCTATACATTAATTTTAGCCACCATCAGATCAATAAAGTTCAGTTCTCTGGTTTGCTTTCTGTTCTGTGATAAACACTGATTACTTTAAGTTGGTGCTCAGGTCCTCATGATTGCAGGGCAAGCACTTTAGAAACTGAACAATTTCCCCAGCCCTTTCACCCTGTATTTCCAGAAACCTCACCTACTCCCAGTCCCACTCTCTAACCTCTGCAGCCAGGGATCCCGGCTTGACAGAGATGGGTGGAGCCAGGGCAGAGGCTTGAAAGGCTGGGCCCTTTTTTTTCTGTTCCAGTGAGGGCAGTTCCCAGGCTTCTGACGAAACAAACTTGAGGCTAGGGGTAGGGGGTGGGGTGTTCCAGCCCAATAGCCTGTTAGGTATGAGTTAGAAGGAAGACATGACAGAGGAGTAACCTGGGGAATCATCGCCATCTGGTGGCCCCAAAGCAGCTATGGCAGTAGTTGTGACCCACAGCAACTCACTGAAATCTGAGAAGACAAAGGGGACCCTTGAGTGGAGGCTGACTGGACTCGGCTAGAAGGGTTTCCCACTGTCACTGGAAGGGACTTCCTCCCCATCTGTGGGAGTGTGCTGGCTAGAGCTGGACAGGGCTTTGCAGGATTTCTAGGAGTCATCGCTTAGGTTTCAATGTCTATCACGGTGCTGAGGACTGGCCCAGATCACAACTGATCTCCTCTCACGCTTATAGCTGCTCTTCCTGTTTCTACCCTAGTGAGGGCAGTAAATCTTAACCTCAATCCCCCATGCCCACAGCCTCTTTCTCCCTTCACCTGGTCTCTCCCCCTCTTCCTGGTGTCCATCCTGTCTTCCAGTTTGTCCCCACCAGCTCTCACCCTGGCCCTACACCTGCCCTTGGATGCTCAGGATGTTTCCAGCCTTCCTGACCACCCAAATACTTGCCAGTTCACTAGGGAAGCAGCCCCTGCAGCCCTCAATTTTCAAACATTTCCTTAGAAATAACTTCATACTTAGAGTACAAAAAAAATTGAGATAGGGTCTTGCTAAGGTGCACGGCTGGCCGGTCTTCAATTTGATATTCTACTTTAGTTCCTATGCAGCTGAGGTTGGAGGCATATGCATCCAGGTACAAACTTTTTTGTCTCTGAGACCGTCTCCCTGTAGCCCCAGCTGGCTATGTAGACTGGGAAGATCCCTTACAGAGTGCTGGGACTAAAGGTGTGCACTGCCATATCCAACTCATTGTGTCTTTTAAGATAGTCTCATAACCCAGGCTGGCCTTGAATTCCTGATCTTTGTGCCTCCAATTCCCCACATACTGGGACTATAGGTCACACCCTATTATTTTTGGCCGGGCATGGTGGCACATGCCTGTAGTCCCAGCACTTGGGAGGCAGAGGCAGGCGGATCTCTGTGAATTCAAGACCGGCCTGGTATACACAGCAAGTTCCAGGCCAGCTGGGGGTACAGAGAGACCCTATCTCAAAAACACCAAAAAAAAAAAAAAAAAAAGTATTATTTTTTTATGTGTATGTGTATGGCCTGCATGTGAATGCCCCCATGTGCTTTTGAGACAGGGTCTCACTATGTAGACCAAACTGAATCCTCCTAAGGTGGCTGCTCATTTTAGCTGAGTGACCCTAGAACCCTAAATGGAAATGAAACTTCCTTTTGAGTCTATCAGGAACTAGGCGGAGGACATGGGTTTAAGATTACTTTAATTTGCAGAGCCTGCAACAGTTGGTTAAGAATGCTGGTACAGTCTGAAAGCCTTTCCCCTTCAAGGCATTCAACAGTCTCTACAAACCAGATCAGAGACCAACCAGACCAACCAGGACATGTTACAGCACACTGGGGAAGAAGCCTTCCATTTCCTTGCTCTCCACATATTTCCCAACAAGACTGTTTTATAGCCAAAAGCAACTCAAACCCTTAACATAGCAATGAGCCATCTTCAATATCACTGATTCCCTCCCACTCCAGAATAGAAAGCAGAGATAAGAGGGGAGCAATGATGACAAGGAGGCTGGTACCCAAGGATGGGGATGGGCACGTGCCAGAACAGACTGTGTAGTTCAATGAAAGCAGCCCTAGTTTCCTCAGTTGTGAGTATTCCCTTGAGAGCCTCACTTCCATGGAGTTAGACAAGGGGGTAACTGGTGTGATTCATCACTCCCTGTCCCTCAAATTAAAACATGATAAATCCAGAAAGTTTTACTTGAAATTTACCACTTCCTCCTGAGAAATATTCGATACAGTCAGTCACCTGTATGTCAGGACCTACTCTTTCTAATGGCCAGGGCTTCAGCCCCTTCTTACCCTTGGGTGGCCCAACCAACACTGATTTGATACTCCTTGACTTATAAAAGGACTATTTTCTAAAATTTACAAGTCATCAGAGTAATAGGACACTTAGTGGAGGAGTAATATGCTCCTCCCTTACCCCACAGAGCCCACCCATCTCTTCCAAGTCCTACCCTGGGACCTACACTACAACGTTCCAATGCTGGCCTGATGGAAGCTGCCTGAAGTGCTTTCCTGTAACTCCAACACTATCCAGCCACTATGACAGGGACTTGTGGTGAGGAGGGACAGGGACAAGACTGCCCCCCACAAGGACATTGCAGAGGACAGAGGTAGGTCTGGGAGGTTTAGCTTTTGTCTGGTAGCCAAGCCCGAATCTGGTGCAGGCTTTTACCAGTATCTCAGTACTTGACTTTAAATAGCAGCAGTTCCAGTCCACAGCACCTCCTGAGGGTCACTGAGCTCCTAGCTCTGTCCTACAACTCAACAGGTTTGCCTTTTCTTACTCTTGTCCCACCATTTTTTTTTTTTTTTTAATTAAAAGTAGAGGTAGTTCCTGGGATGATAAAACCCTACCTAGAATGGCAGTATTTTGACTTAATGAAGCAGTAGAGTAAGTCTTGAGGAGTTTAAAAAAAAATTGATGAAGCTGAATAAATTAGTTATGGGTTATCCCACGAAGACCTTTCCCTTCCAGCCTATCTTTGGTATTTGGCCAGCAGCATGTCTGTTTAAGTAGCTTCTGTTCCCTCATGACAGGAGGCCAAGATCCAATAAGGCTACAGCTACTTCATCTCAGGAGGCCAAGTCAGAACAGCTTGTCATGGTGCTATGGACCATGCCATGACGTGTCCAGCCTTGGCAGGCAGTCCTGACAGGGAAGGAGTCCTAGGGACAGAAGTATACTAGCAAGGTGTCCTGGCCTCCAATCTGGGAGTGTAGGAGACAGGTTTAAAGCGTGGAAGCTCCAGGTCTTCTCGCCACATGTCACATGGCTGGCCCCTTTGCTTTTTCTCTGTAGCAAAAGGAAAGGGGAAGGGGTAGAGGGACGTTCAGGCTGCTGCCTTCAGAGCTTCTTCAGACGACTATACATCTCTCTTTTGCTCTTTTCTCCTGCCCAGGTCCGGCTCTTGGTGCGGAACTTCTTCAGGTCTTCTTTAAAGTCCTCATGGTGCATAGGTCGATAGCTGGGGGGCTCACAGTGAGACTAAGGGAACAGGAGAGATGGTAAGGGTATACTGCTTCCCACAATCTGGCTTTCTCCTTGCCTGGATCTGCAAGTCTGGGAGCAGCAATGCACAAGTGGCCAGTGGGTTCTACAGGGGCCTTCTTAGTGCTTAGAAGATCCATCTATTATCCCTAGACCCCTGGTAAGGAACACCATAATCACTAGATGGACCCGTTGGTGTAGCATGGGGATGTGGGGACACGCTTTCAGGGGGCCTCTCACCTGGCACTTCAGGAAGAACTCCTTGTATCCCCCCTTCAGGACATACAGCTCAGGGTAGTGGAGTTTAGGGTATTCATTGCCAAGTCGATCTCTTTCTCTCACATATCTGCACCTGGTAAAGAGGAATGAAGGACAAAGCAAGGTTATCTCCAGCAGGGAACTGAGGACAACAGTGAAAACAGAAGTGGTTTAAGTACTCCTTCTGCCTGTCTTCAACCATGTTACATTCATGCTCACAAATACAAGACAAGCACTATACTAACCTGGCCTACACTTACTATTCTAAGTTTTAAGGCTTTTTTGAGATCAGGCTTCATGTAGATTAGGGTGGCCTCAAACTCCCAATTCTCTTGCCTTAGTCTCTCAAGTGCTGGGATTACAAGATGTAAGCTACTATGTCAGACTCTGGTAAGTCTTTTAAAGCATCATCACTAAATTTTTCAGAGTGAGATCATACTTTTCTGGCATTTGCCTAAGAAATCAGTTTCACAAAGCTATGGTTTACATGTCAGATGTATAAGCTGAGGCACTGGAATGACTTATGAGATGCTCAATAGGATACTTGATATGCTAAGACATGCTCCACAAAAGCACCATGGGGGACTTTCCCCACAGCCTTGTCCTGTGCAGTACTCACATGCGAGGGCCTCTTTCAGAAGAAAACTCGCAGTGGAACACAACGATGACACGCTTGCCATCAGTAGATACAATAGGTTTCTTGAGTAAGAAGTTTTCAACCTCTTCTTCCATGTGCAAGTTCACTGCACCCTGTGAAGAGATACCCTTCGCACCTGCTGTATCACACTTGAAGTGATGATTCAGTCAAGTGGACTTTAAGCTCCTAAGAAGAATCTGAGACTCTGAAAGTCTCCTGACAGAAGTCTAGTAGATCACCTGCCCTTGTATCTCAACGAAGCTCTGTATACTTCAGTAACACATGTAAACTGGAAATGGTCACCTCAAATTGGCACTGGATATATGGTATACTTTATGAATAGTATTTGTAAATTTGGAGCTTTTCAAAGGCTGTAAGATAGAAGCAATCACTAACTAACATCCCCTCACCATACCTAAACACTGCTTTACTGGGTAAGATTAAAGTGGTATAACCAGTTCCTTGCTTTCTACAAATGTGTTCCAATGTGGCCCTCCTCCAAGCAAGCAGTTTGAGCAATAAACTGAAGCCTAGTATAGACATTGGGGCATGTGGACAGACTAGCTTCTGGTCAGAAGCCTTAGAGTGGTCAAACACTTGTATTTAAGCATCTCAAATGCTCTGGAACCCTTATTGACCCCACTAAGCAGCTCAGACATCAGGGGGTGTCTCTTAGAAATACCCTTAAGGGGAGCAGAGTGTGAGCAGCCCAGTTGTAGAGTGGACCAGGCTCAGGAATATTCAGTACACACCTATTGGCTTGTTTTAAATTTTCACCATGTGACAAATCACATCCTACCTCTAAGCCTCTCAAGATAGTTAAGTCTCAAGAATCCATACCTTAATGTGACCTCCTTCATACTCATATGGGTATCGGCAGTCGATGATAACAAATTCTTTAATGAGACTGTCAAATTTGCCATTCAAAACAGATGCCATCTAGGGATAGAATGTGGGGGTAGGGGTGAATATCCATGTTGGCTGCCAGGCATAACTAGATTCTAATTCCCCAAGTGTGGTAGGTTCCAAACGTCTGACTTACAATTTCTGGAGAAATATATTTTAAATCTTGATGCTTCCCAGCAACTGTATGAAAGAGATAACCCTTTAAAAAGAAAAAAGAAGATACTCAGGGGAATGTGAAAGCCTGTAAATATAACATTTATATTGCCTGCCTAGTAGGAGAGTTCTAAAAAGAAAAAAAAGGACTGAATTGTTAGTATGTGCTAATTTACCCTTCTAGGCATTTCACTAACATCTAGATATCAACAAAAATTTTTTGAGGCAGGGTCTCACTATGCAGCCCTGGAATTTGCTATAAAGACCAGGCAGGCCTTGAACTCACAGAGATCTGCCTGCCTCTGCTTCAGGAGTGCTGGGATTGAAGGTGTATACTACCACATACAGCTGGATATTTATTTTTATACAAACATAATAAGGCAAATTAAGCCCAATTTTTAGACCTTTTTCCAAGATTAGGCTGGATGAGTTTGTCTGTCTGTTTTTGACAGGGTCTCACTGTATTGCCCTGAGCACTTGCTATGTAGCCCAGGTGGCCTGGAACTAGTAATCCTCTTGAGACCAGATTTGAACACAGAAATCTTATGCAATTCCTCTTTCTACCTGTTTTGATTAGGAACTCTCATCTCCGTCAGAGTATGAATATCATTTAAAAAATAGTGAGAACGAGGCATGGTGGTACACACTCTTAATCCTAGCACTTGGGAGGCAGAGGCAGGCGGATCTCTCTGAGTTCTAGGCCAGCCTAGTTTACATAGTGAGTTCCAGGCTAGCTGGGGCTACAGGGAGACCCTGTGTCAAAAAGACCAAAAAAAATAATGAGGAGGCCCAGCATGGTGGTACAGGTCTTTAATCCCAGCACCAGGGAGGCAGAGGCAGGTAGATTTCTATGAGTTCAAGGCCAGTCTGGGCTACACAGCGAGACCCTGTCTCAAATAACAACAAAATAAATGAAGAGGGGGTTGGAGAGATGACTCTGTGGAGCATTAGCTGCTCTTACAGAGGACCTGGGTTCGGTTCCAGCACCCACACGGACGCTAACAATCCATTAACTGCAGTTCTAGGGGATTTAACACCCTCTTCTGGCTTCCAAGGGCATTGTATGATATGGATGCACTTACATATGTGCAGGCAAAACACCCATATACATAAAATGAAAAAATGTATTTTAAAAAGTAATAATGAGGCGTATACTGTAATCCCAGCACTGGGAGGCTGAGGCAAGAGGACTGAGTTTGAGGCCATCTTAGGCTATATAGTCAGATTGTTTTGGAAGACAGTGAGGAGAAAATTTGTGTATCTGCTGAGCACCCGGTTTCCCAACATGGTGTCAGGCAGTGGGAATGGAAAAACAATTTTGACCCAGACTTGAGAAAGAAGGGACATGTCAGCATTATTTATAGGACAACTGGCCAAATTAAAAGCTTACCTATACTGATGGTCACAAGACAAACATAACCAATAGTTTCAACTCAAGTTGAGAGCGCCACAATTAAATGACTTTGTTCTTCCCATCGGACCCCCATTCCTTCAAAATCTTACTTGACTGAAATAACAGCAGCTAGCTCAAGCTCACATGTTCCCCATCCCCTGAGACAAAGCCCCTATATTTATAGCCCGCTCCTTTCACCTCAATGACATTTGCTTCACTCCACCATGTGGTATGTCTTATGAGGACTCTCTGCCTAACAGATAAATGCTTGCTAAATTAGCAAGATTGATTTTTAAACTTCAAGTTAAAAGTAGCTAAGCAAGCTGGGTGTGGTAGTGCATGCCTTTAATCACAGAACCCGGGAGGCAGAGGTAGCTAAGGCTATACAGATGCTGTCTTACATCACAGCTTAAAGGCAGACAAACCTCCTGTAACACATCAGGTCACCATGACTTCCATGAAGTCTGGACCTTCCAAGATACCTACCATATCCACGTGTATGAATGAAGTATGCTATATATAGTCATAGTATTTTTATAATCAGAAACCTAGTACCCAGAAAGCCTGGTCTTTGGGTCAGAATGAAGGAGGGTAGCTCCCTATTTGAAATTACTGACCCTCAACTTGTACCATCTAGTCTCTGAGACCAAGATGTACCTCATCACGAGAAGCTCAATTTGTTTCCCTATCTTTAACATTTTAAACTGTTGCCTTGGAGATACCCTAAGGGAAGAGAAAAGCTACATGGGGTTCTAGGTACTCCCAATTCTTTCCCCAGTATCATCCACCTGACTAATTCTGCTTGCAATACCTTGGAGAAATCGCCTATAAGGTTTCTTGGGTCATTGTCCAAAATGTTCTCAATGGTCCCTTTGGGGGAAGATGTCAGAGATAAAGACTGGTGCAGAAGCTGCAATAAAGCAAAGGTAGAGAATGAGATGAGGGTTCTGACTAGAGTTTATAAAACACTCACCAAGCCCAAGTGGGGAGACTGAAGTGCTAATGCCTTATTTGAATTGGATGAAAAAAAGCCAAAAAGATGAATTACTACTGAATAGGTCCCACTATTACCAAACTGAATTTCTCTGAAACATTTTTTTTTCTTTCTTTTTTTTTTTTAAGTGAAACAGGGTCTCACTATATAACTCAGAGGCCTGGAACTTGCTATGTAGACCAAGTTAGCCTTGGCCAGAGATCCACTAGCCTCTGCTTCCTGAGTCCTGGGACTAAAGATAGGCATCATTATGCCCAGTACCTTTCCCTTTTTATTATTCATAATCAAAACTATTGAACTGATGATATGGTAATCCTAGAGGCAACAGTACTGCCACAAATTTGAGTCTAGCCAGGACTTATGGGGACAAGAACCCAAACCCCAAACCTAAAGCTTACACTTAAATAAATAATATAATTACGGGAGTTGGAGAGATGGCTCAGTGGTTAAGAGCATGGCTGCTCTGGTACAGGACCTGGATTCAGTTCCCAGTACCAACATGGAGGTTAACAACCATCTAAACCTCCAGGTCCAGGGGATCTGACACCTTCTTCTGGTCTCTGTGAGCACTGCTCACATGTGGTGCATTTACATGCACACAAAACACTCACACACATAAAAATTTTAAAAACGAAAAGAACTTCAATGAATTTTTATTATATAGATTTCTACCCTTACCCTACCACCCTCCATTTTTTTTGCTGTTGTTGTTTATTTGGGGAGAAGATTGAGACAGGGTCTCAATACATATCTCTGGCTGGCCTAAAACTTGCTATATAGATCAGGCTGGACCCAAACTCAACAACAGCAGTTCCAATGAGAAATCTAGGGAAGAAGAGACAATAGATTCTAAAGGCCAATGGGAACCTCTGAATGTGACAAATGATTCAAATTCTTTAACAAGTAAGATAAAGACAAAAAGGAGCATAGGTACTCAAAAAATAAGAGACCAATACAAGTCAGGTGTGGTGCTGCATGCCTAAAATCCCAGTACTTGGGAGGCCGAGGCAGGAGGATCACAAGTTCCAGGCTAGACCAAAAAAAAAGCAAGAACCTGACACAAAAGCCAAATGAAAATAAAAACCCAATACCAACCAATAATAAACTCCCAAAAGAAAAAAAACAAAGTAGAAACAGAATAAAAACAGCAAAGCTTAGCAAACACAAAGAACCACCATGTGGAAATGTTTAGAACTAATTGAAAGATAGCTGCCATTCTTAGATCAAAAAGAACCTGTAAAACCAACCTCCTGGGTCTTCTCTGGATTATCTTCTTTTTCAGGACTGGTGCCCACCATGTTCTTCCTCCGTTTTGTACTTCCATGAGGAGACTCATCCTGAGATCGGTCCGTTCTCTTCAACACTGATCGAGTGCTGGAGCTACTACATGGGGAAGGGGAGTCAAACAGCCTGCATCGATTGCCCTTAGGGTAAAAGAGACAGATCAGTCTTTAATTAAAATCTGCTACATCAATAAAACTGATGGCAATTGGACTAAGGTCTCCCTGGGTTGTAGGTAGCTGAGGCAGAGTCTAAACCCAGGTCCTCGGCCTGTGTCATCTCAGCCAACACAGCTAAGGACTATGGAAGGCTCTCTCCATACACACCAGAACTTACAAGGTTTGTAGGTCTTCTCATGACAAGAGGGGCTGTCCAGAGGCTTGCCATGCCTGATGGGGTCTCTTCATCATTCTAAAGGAAAAGAAAAACTGCTTTTGAACAGATCCAACCAAGGGTTAGAAGAAAAAGAGCCAGCAGAGATGAACATTAATTCCTGGAAGAATGCCAGACAAACTTGACAGGAAGTTATCTTTTTTTTTGTTTTTGAGACAGGGTCTCACTATATAAGCCCTGAATGGCCTGGAACTTACTATATAGGGCAGGTTACCCTTAAACTCAGAGATCTGCATGCCCCTTCCTCCCAAGTATTCGGATTAAAGGTCTTTTGTTTCTTTTTAAACAGGGTCTCACTATGTAGCCCAGGCTGGCCTTGAACTTGTGGCTTACAGTGATCCTTTCACTTCATCATCCCACATGGTGGCATTACAGGAGTCCCATCACAGCAGACTAGTTAGTATCTTTTAGTTTTTGGTACTAGAGACTGAACCTAAGGCCTTGTGCATGCTAAGCAGGTGTTACATCCCTAGCTTCAGAACTGTCTTACTTAATACACTCCTCCTTCCCTACTCCTAAAAGCCCTGTTAGGTCCTTCAGTTTAAGAAGGATCATGCAGACATAATTGCCCTCCCACTTGAATAGGATCTAATCAAGCTGGGAGTCTCAATAAATTCCCACAAAATGAAGTGTCAGCCAGGCAAGACCCCGAGGAACATTCTTTTTCAGGTGACTTCTCTGGTGGAGGTTAGAATGGGCACAGACAGTACCTTCAGATTCTCTCCATCCAGAAGGTCCATAAAGCCATCATCCTCATCAGACAAAGTAGCTGTCACAGGTGACTGGGGCGTAAAAAGAGGACTGAAATTCCCTGATTCACTGTTATCTCTTTCATTTGAAGAAAGCTAAAAGACAAAATTAATGACTTTATGTAGCCCTGGCTGGCCTGGAACTCATCTGAGATCCACCTGCCTCTTCCTCCTGAATTAAAGGCATAGGCCACCATTCTTGGTCCTAAAGTTAACCAGCCTAGCTAATTGGTGAGCTCCATGTTCAGTTAGAGACCCTGTCTCAAAAAGTACTGTGGATGGGTTGAGGAGATTACTCAGTGAATTGCCATGCAAACATGGAACAGGAGCTCCGATCCCCAGAATCCACCTAAGTGCCAGTTGGGTGGTGGCCTGCTTGGATTGCCTGTGCTCAGAAAGTGGAAGCAGAGTAACCCAGGAGTAAGCTGGATAGCTAAACTTGCTGTATGGATGTGCCCTGGGTTCAAATGAGACACCCTTCCTCAAAGAGGAAGGAGGAGTGATCAAAGAAGACTGTTGACAACAACCTTGTGCCTACGCACATGCACCAGAGCAGAAATATGTGTGAGCACACACATTTGAACACGTACACGATCTACACACACGGAACAAACCAAAGATGGACAGCACAGGATGGAGGGCTGGCATGCTGAGGATTGGGGTAGGTTAACCTCTGATTTTGAATTCTGAACTTAAGTTTCAACATTATTATTATTAGGTTTAGGTTTGGGTTTTAGTTTGCTTGTTTTTTTTTTTTAAATTTTATTTATTATTTTTATTTTATGTGTATGCGTGTATTGCCTGTGTGTAGGTAAGTGCACCCGTGTCGTGCAATGCCCGCAACAGAAGATGCTGTCAGATCACCTGACACTGTAGTTACAGATAGCTGTTAGCTGCCATGTGGGTGCTGGGATTTGAACTTGGGTTTTCTGCAAGAACAGTGTTCTTAACCACTGAGCCATCTCTCCAGCCCCCAAGTTATCTATTTTTAAGATTTTATTATCCGTGGGGCTGGAGAGATGGCTCAGCAGTTAAGAGTACTGACTGCTTTTGCAGAGGACCCGGGTTTGATTCCTAGCACCCCCATGGCGGCTAGGAACCTTCCTCAACTCCAGTTCCAGGGGAATCCAAAGCCTTCTTCTGACCTCCATGGCATTGCACGACATGGGTGTACTTACATATATGCAGACAATACACTCATACACATAAAAAAAAAAAAATTATTATTTGTGTATGTGTGTGCACATGCAGTATGTGTGAGTGCCCATAGGGACTAGAAGAGGGTGTCAAGACCCCCTGTAGCTGCAGTTACAAGGTAGTTGTGAGCTCCCTAACGTGGGTGCTGGGAACCAAATTGCAAGAACAGCAAGTGCTCTTAACCAGAGCTATCTCTCCAGTTCTTTGAAGTTCTTAATGAACCAACCTTGGAAGTTTCAAGTACTACCTCCAAGCAATGTTACTCTTTGGGAAATATTTCATACCTAGGACGTACTATAAAAGAGCAAGTTTTAAATAAAGTTTCTCAAAGAAACTATCAAAGAAACTATCTCAAACGAGCAAGAGAGAGAGAGAGAGAAAGAGACAGACAGACAGAGTTCAACCATAAATACAGTTAGAGGGGTCGCACAAGATGCCACAGGATTTTTTCCCAGAATTGACATGGCCAAATAGTTCTTGCACAAGTCCATTAAATCCAACCTCCCATTCTTGTTCTGATCCATCTGCTTTCTAGACACAGCAAAAATGCCAAGACTATTTGGCAAGCTTAATTTCCAAAAACAAAGGATAAAGACAGGTAGAGATGCTGCAGTCTCTTCATCTCTGGATTAAAGAAGGTGCTTTTATTTTATGTGTATGAGTGTATTGCCTGCATGTATGTGAGTGCACCCGTGTCGTGTAACGCCGCAGGTCAGAAGAAGGCTTCAGATTCCCCTGGAACTAGAGTTAAGGACGGTTCATAGCTGCCATGTGGGTGCTGGCATTTGAACCTGGATCCTCTGCAAGAGCAGTCAGTGCTCTTTAACCACCGAGCCATCTCTCCAGCCCAAAGAAGGTGCTTTTAAATTCTCTCCAGGCTGGTAAGATGGATCAACAAGTAAAAGCTGTGCAAGTCTGACAATCTGAGTTCCATCCCTGAAATTTACATAAAGGAGGAGAGAACCACCATGTCTTCTGATTCCACACGAACACCACATCATGCACACCCATCATACACAAAGAAAAATTAGAAAAAAAAAGTTGTAACTTCTCTTTCCATCAGGAACCTCCCTATGAAAGCCAGAACACATACCATTCGAGCTGGGGCTGAGTTCTGCCTCTGTGTGAAGATATCTTTACCCTCCTCATGTCCATGAATGTGCAGACAGCCACGAGATGCAGGGCGTATTGGCTTCTTAAACTCAAATGCTTCCTGCAAGACAATATAGTCTAGGTATTTTCTACTGTCCATGAAAACCAACTCTAGGGCTGGTGAGATGCCTTGATGGGTACAGACTTGCTGCCAAGCCTGATAACTTGAGTTGGATTCCTCAGAACCCACATGGTGAAAGGAGATTACAGCCTCCTGAAAGTTGTCCTCTGACCTCCCATGTGCACTGCATGGCATACCCATGCCCAGTGTCTCTTGTTTCTCTCAGATATACAACACAAAATTAAAAAATCATTATCAGGGCTGGAGAGATGGCTCAGCGGTTAAGAACACTGGTTGTTCTTGCAGAAGATCTGGGTTCGAATCCCAGCATCCACATGGCAGCTAACAACTGTCTGTAACTCCAGTCCCAGGGGATCCAACAGCCTCTTCTGACCTCTGTGGGCATTGCACTACACAGGTGCACTTACCTACATGCAGGTAATACACTCATACACATAAAAAAAAAAAATCATTATCATTGTATTCCATACTAAAAACAATGGAAAATAATTTCCTGGAACTGGAGTTAGGACAGCTGTTAGCTGCCATGTGGGTGCTGGGAATTGCAAGAGCATTCAGTGCTCTTAACTGCTGAGTTATCTCTCCAGACTGGGAAAATAAATTTTAAAAGGTTTATTGGCATATTCAACCCCAATGGTTCTCACAATGTTGAGTGAAAGCAGCCAGATATAATAGAATACATATTCTTTTTTTTGGGGGGGGGCTTTTTGCGACAGGGTCTCCCAGCTGGCCTTGAACTCAGAGATCCTCTGCCTCCCAAATGCTGGGATCACAGGCGTGTGCCACCACACCTGGCCTATTTAAAGTTTAAAAGCATTCATACACCCCTTATCCTACAATATCCGTGTAAGCACTTGTTATAAGCACTAAAAGCAGTAACCACTAAAATTATTTATATTACCAACATAATACTAAGTACTTTCTTTTTTGTTTTTTCAGTCTTTTTGAGACAGGTCTCCCTGTAGCCTCAGCTGGCCTGGAACACTATGTAGACTGGCTGGCCTTGAACTCAGAGATCCACCTGCCTCTGCCTCCCAAGTGCTGGGACTAAAGGCATGCACCACCACACCTGGCTAGTACTTTCTTTTTTGAACTGGAGTTATAGATGGTTGTTAGCCACCATGTGGATAGTGGGGACCAAATCCAGGTCCTCTGCAAAAGTAGACAGTGCTCTTAACCAATAAGCCATTTCCTAAGCTCTTTATTTGAAACAGGGTCTATGTAGCCCTGCTGGCCTGGAACAGAGATCCATCTCTACCTCCTGAGTGCTTCTGGGATTAAAGGCTGGAGTCACCATGCCCCACATACTAAGTATTTTCTGAGCATATTCTTGTCTAACCAAATACTACACCTCATTCTTACCATTTTACAAGAAACCAGGTCCTATGAAAATGGTGTGCCAAAGATTTTGAAGCCAGATAGGAAGTCTAGAAAGTTCTTTAACCTATGCTGTTTATTCCTTTAGAACAAAGTTCCAGGAAGGGAGAAAGTGTCTCCTGGGAGAAACCAGACAGAATTAGGTGCATTCATGGAGGCTATTAGTTTCATGCTAAATCTGGAAATCATTAGGATTATAAACTCTGGCATTTTAGGGGGGTGAGTGGGAAACAAAAAACATGGAAACAGAGTGAGAGAAAAGCTTGGAAAGCTGAGTTACCTCATTTAATTGTTTTGGAGGCCTATCCTGTGTGCAAAACATTGTGTTGTGATCTAAGAGGTAACCAGGCCAGGCTACCGTTCCAGTTGTTCTAGATACCCTAGAACTTGCACAGCTTTAGATTTTTAGCTTCTCATTTCAGAGCTTTATATATTTTGCAGGTATTCACAGGAAATAAGGTATGGTAAGAAAAAAAAAAAATCCTGCTAGCCAGTCCCAGTGGCACACATCTCCCAAACACTAAAAAGCCTTTTCTTCAGTTTACAAGTCACCCCAGGGTTGGAACCAAGAAAGGAAGGCCTGGGCACTCTTCTAGATAAAACTATTTGTGTAAGGGAATGATAGTAGATAGGTTGATCAGGATTCAGTGGATGAAATCACAGAGGGTCATCTGGGGACACAAATTTGACTCAACAGGCCTTAACATAAATGACAGGATGCATGAAAGCCAGTGTGTGTGTGTGGGGTGGTGGTGGTGGCAGCTATGAGAGTATGCAGATATGGAGGTTTGGTCTAAATATGATTAAGATGTATTGCACGAAATGCATAAAAATTACTATTTGTGAGTTTAAATCCTTTACATACACAATCTTATTTAATTCCACAATAGCCCTAATAGGTATTGTACTTCATACAAAACAGAAACACAAAGAAACCTAAAAACAACAAAACAAAACAAAAGCTGCTGGCACTTGACTTCTAGCTTAGGTTAGCACATTAATGTTACACTCACATTTTCTTTGTTTTCATCTTGGTCGATGAGCTGAAAGATGTCATGGTCTAGAGAATCAGAATGGCTCCTTTTAAGAGCTGGGCTACATCCCAAGAGCTTCTGCTATCAAAGTGGAAAAGAAAATAGAGTAAATAAAGAACATATGCTAGAACGCTCAAAGGTCTCACTTAAAAAACAAAGACAAAAAAACACAACAACACATGTTTTGCCTGCATGCATGTGTCAGATTCCCTGAAACTGTTGTTATATCAGTTGTTAGCAACCATGCATGTACTGGGAAATGAGCCTGGGTCCTCTGTAAGAATAGCTAATGTTATGAACTGCTGAGCCATCTCTCCAGCCCAGGCTGGCCTTGAATTTGTGATCTTCTGGCCTCAGCCTCCTAAGTGCTTGGGATTACAGGAGTGACCCACCAGGTCAAACTTAAAACTCAGTTCTTGAAGAAATGAAGTAGAGTGAGAACAGCTAGCTCCTCACATCCTGTAGTAGCTAACCAGTAAATATGATCAGGGCCCCACCCTGCTCCAACTCAGAAGTTTCTACAATGGCTTTACGATGTTCCAAGGTCTATAGCCTTCTGGGAGGGTATATTATAGGGCTGTATCAGCCCCCTAACAACATTTGCATAGAAAGAACCTTTCCTGGTTTGATAACTGATTGAATTAAGAGAGTAAAGTCCACAAGAGGCAACCAGTATTGAATTTGTTCTAATGCTTATGACCCCAGAAAAGCAATTTCCACTTTCTAAATTGAGATCTCCTAGGTAGGTGAAGCTGGCACTTAGGGGGCAGTTAATAGGTATTAGCTCAAAATAACAATGGAACTAACTTACAGGTAGGGAATTTATTTTCCTCATGGCATTTTCAAGGCTGTAATGAGATCAAAAGGGAAATGATGAGAATGAGAGCAAGTAAAGAGGTATTCATATTAGCAGACACGTATTATTTAGGCCAGAAGAGTCTAATCCCTCAGAGCTGGAATTACAGGCAGGTATAAGCCACTCTATGTGGGCTCTGGGAAGTGAACTTCGATCCTCTGCAAGAACAAATGCTCTTAGCGCTGGGTCACCTGTCCAGCCCCAGCTGTATATTATTTAAAAGCCTATAGCTTGGAGAGGGGGGGCAAGTCAGATTCCACCTGTAACCGAGAGATACAAAAATAAATATCTAAAGTTGTCTTGGTCTCAAGAGTGTCACAAACACTAAGCTTGTTGATTTAAAAAGAAAAAAGCAAACCAGGATCTTCTCTGTAAAACACACAGTTAAGTTTTTAATGCCAAAAGGCAGAGTAAGGGAAACCACAGTAAAATAAAGGAGGGGCAGTTCTGGAAACTGTTGACACAAAACTATTAATTCTTGGGAGTGTTTCTAAGATCCAAATATCACACTGGAATAGGTAACCCCAGAGGTCTAGTCCAGAGTATAAAGAATTTCACAAGCTCTTTTTGTGTGTGTGCAATATTGGGTACTGACCCTAACCTGGAGCTATATACCTGTCAGGCAAGCACTCTATTACTGAATTCTACTTTTTATTTCAAGGCAGGGCCTCTAAATTGCCTAGGCAGACCTTGAATTTTCAATTCTTCCACCTCAGCCTCTGGAGCAGGTGAGATTACAAGTCTGTGCCACTAGGCCTGGTTAAGCAAAGATTTTTTTCCTAAGTATAAAAATTTAAAGCACCTGGGTGTGGTGGCGCCCAACTTTAAAGCCAGCACTAGGAGGCAGAGGCAGAAGGATCTATCTCTGTGAGATTGAGACCAGCCTGGTCTACGTAGTAAGTTCCAGGCCAGCTAGGGCTACAGGGTGACCCTGTCTCGAAAAGTAAATAAAAGCAGTGAATACATACTTTTCTTTTCTATCCAAAGGCCCAGGAGAATCCAGACAGAAACCTTTAAGAAATAAAAACAAAATTCTTAGGAAATAATACACAAAACACTATTTCTGCTGTTATAAATAACATTTTGAAGTACACAAATGCCAACAACAGGGAAAACAAGATTTTTCTTTTTCTTTTCTATGTGTATGAGTGTTTTGCTTACATGTAAGTGCATTCATGTCATGCAATGACTTCAGAGGCTGAAGGGCATTAATCCCTCAGAACTGGAGTTATGTCGGTTGTGGTTGTTAGCTGCTATGTGGGTGCTGGGAACCAAACCTGGGTCCTCCATTGAGCCATCTCTCCAGCACCAAGGGAAACAAGATTTAGGAGGCTTTATCAAACCTCTATCAAGACTGATTGCTTTTTCAGATAGAGGTGACCCTTATAACTTTTTGTGTAGTTCCAACCATGGAAAGGATGTGGGATTTTATTAAATTTTCATTTTAAATCATTTAAATTTGTCAAATCTTAGGTCTAATTTGGAGGCATGAAAAATACAACCAGCACCCAGATGGCAGCTAACAATCATCTGTAACTGCCAGTTTCAGGGGAATCCCACTCTCTTCTGACCTCCACAGGTATAATTACATACATGTAAGGCAATACACTCATACACAAAATTTAGAAAATTAAAAATAAAGATTACTCTTGGTCCTGTATGGTGGCGTACACTTATAATCCCAGTACTCAAGAGACAATGAGTTCAAGACTAGCTTGGGCTACACAGTGAAACCCTGCCTGAAAAGGGATTTTTTTTTTTTTGCTCTTGTAGTTTCCTAACCTAAGGCATTTATAGCCCAAATACTCATAGCCATAACATGAATTTATCAAGTAGCATGAAATGTACTAGGCCCATTTTCTCCAAAGCAGGATGACCAAAATGCCACTGTAAGTCTAATTATCTGACACTTATTTTAACACACAGATTTTCTGAATCCTTCAGGAGCAAACAAGCATGTGTCGCCACCTTGCAAACAAACCCCTAACACTCTGACAATTGCCACAGGAGCTCCTTTTGTACTGTCCTTAAGGGTGCTTGTCACACCATACCATGACTTCTCTGCATATTGTCTAGTCACCAAGTTTCTAAGTGAAAGGATATGTTTCAGGAAATTCTCAGTATTGCTCCCCACATGGCCAACTCAAGATAAATGATGAAGACTGAAATACCTGAATCAGTTGATTCTGAGGAGCCCAGCCTCTGCAGGCTGCTGCTTCTACCCTCCATTGGCTTCTCATGGTCCCTGAAACCAAAAAAAAATACTGTCAGCAGGAACAACTTCTAGAACATAATTAAAAGGTTCTATACAGGAGATGGGGGCCATGAAATAGCCAGGCTGCCACAAATCATCCTCATTGAGGCCAAGCCACGGGACCCTCCCCCCACTCTGCCATCCAGAATACCCAGTTGTCACTTGGGCAAAGAAAGGAGTAGGCATAGCTTTGGGCCACATTATAGGATATGTCTGTGGCAAATTCTGGGTTGTTTCCCTTCATAAAGTTCTACGATTTGAGGTACTATGCTGTAAGTTGGGGGGAAAGGTGAGCAAGACTGGAGTCTCGCTTTTCAAAGGGTAGAAAAAAACATAAGACATACGTTTAGAAAACGAGACACCCAAAACTGAAAGCAACTTCACTAGAAACACTGGAATGTACTGTGGGGGGATGGAGAAACTGAGTCTACAAAGCTCTCAAGTATAGAAAGTGAAGCCAAAAGATCTGGCTGTAGGAAAGAAGAGGGGTGGATATCTGAAACGTGCAGGGCAAGTGACCGCACAGATTTTGCACAAATGCAAGAAAGAAAATGCCATGTCCCTTTGTTGAGAAGGAACAAAGCTTACAGGAAACTAACATCCGGCGCGGCGGTTCAGCAAAGGGTAGAAGGGCCTAGGAGAACCCGTTTCCCCCCGTGGGGGTAGATTCCAAAGAGTTCCCTGGAATAGAGACAGAGTACAGAGAAATCTGAAAGAGGTGATCAAGATGGGGAGCCCAGAGGACCCCCCCCCCCCGGCCCCGGGTCTGGCTCGGGCTGAGGATAGCCCTGGATGGTCCGAACGGCCTCTCCCGCCCAACATTCCGCCCGGGAGAAGGGTGCACATGGCCTGCCCTGGCCGGGCCACCCTGGACCAGCGGAACAAGCCCTTCTCCCTGCCACATCACCCCTAGGGCAGATCATAGGCCAGCGGTCTGGGGCAACGCTCGCTGGTCTGTCCTTACCTGTCCAGCCCCTTCAGCTGGTCCATGGTGACCGTCAGGTTGGTGACAGGGGACAGCCCGCCAGCAGCTGACGCACCAAACAGCGACTTCCCCGTGGGCTGCGGCGCCAGAGTGGGGCTGCAAGCAAAGAGAAGGCGGCGGCGGTGGGGGGGCTCCGGGCCCAGTTCCATGGCGCCGACGGGCCTCTTGGACTCCCGCTTCGTCTTCCTCCGCCTCCGCCGTGCCCGCCCCGCCTCGCCCCGCCGGCACCGGCTTCAGCCGCGTGCTACGCCGCCAGCACCCGTGGATCAAACACAAACACGGCCCCGCGGTTCAGAGACGCGACCGCCACGGGGAAGTGGCGCGGACTGGCGAGCGTCGGGGACCAGGCAGACGCCAGCCACGGCTGCTTTCCTTTCGTCCCCGCGCTGCCACTAGGCGGGCGGGCGCCTCGAGGCCACGGCCTGGGCACAGGCTCCTCAGCCTTTTTCTTCCCTCCTTGCTCAGTCCCCCTGGCGCAGAGAAGTCACCCTCACATCCTTCTCAGATTGTCGAAGCTAAACTGGCCTTGGAATTAATAGCTGCTCACCGGGGATCACTGTCGCCCCGCCTCTCTTTCCTAGTTGGCGCCAAACGGAATTCACCAATCAGGAGGCAAACGTCTCCTCGCTCCCGAATGACAGCAGACCTGGACCAATGAGAGAGAAGGAAGAAGCATGTCACGGGTCGACTCGCGGTCACGCCTTCTCCGAAGGGGGCGAGGCCTAAAGAGATAGGAAGTGGTAGAAAGGAGAAGAGGGCTCAGAGGTCAATGAAACTCCCAGCAGAACCTGCGAGGTGCTAGTCCGGGCAGAGAGGACCCTCTTTTCCCGTTGCATGCTGGGAAGTGTAGTTCCTGCGGCGCGCGCTGGTCCAGTTACCTATCGAATTTGGGCTACTGCCGCCCGGAGGAATAGTGGAGGCTGGAGAAGGCCCCATCTGGACTCCGCCTTGGCTCTTTCTCTAACCATTCAGTATCACGAATTACTCTTTTCCTTCACAGGACTATAGGGTCTGACTAAATTAATTTAAATTAATTTTGAGACAGTCTCCCTCTGTAGCTAGGATGGCCTAGAACTGACAAGATTAGCGCAGGCTGGCCTCGAACTTGTGACCGTCTTCCTTCCTCAGCCTTTTGAATGCCGGAATTAGAGGTGTGAGCCACCGTAACTGGCCAGGCTCGGATTTTATAAAGGGAAAGGGAATTGAATGACCCCCCCCCCCAGAACTGGACTCCTGGCTGTCATGGTTAACAGACTCTCTTGCTCCAGATGTAAGGCCTGTAATACAATGTCTTGTGCCACGGCCCTTAGTATTCTTTACTCTTTCTGTATGCTCTCAGATCCCTCAGATCCTTCTTTTCCATCATTTTCCCCAACTCCTAGAGAGCAGTAGTATTAGTGAATAAAGTAATAGGTGGCTTGTGGTGTTATGCGCAAACACTTTTCAAGTGGGATAACTATTGACTTGTTTAATTCATACAACTCTTAGACTAATCATTCTCCTTTTATAGCTGTCCATATTTATTTTTATAGCTCTTAGTGGTGACTCCAATGTTAAGACAGGCATAGGTACAGCAACTAGACTGTAAAAGGAAAGGTTTTTGGACAGCAATTTTAAGGCAGCACACTGTACTAAATAAGATTGTATTTTAAGTGACTTTGAAGTGCCTGGTAGAGATTAAGATAAAAAATTCTACTTATGGTTTACCATTAAATGTTTCTCTTAAAAACTTTGCTTTCTTTCAAGTACCATGAAACAAAATCAATTTACAAAAAACCAGTGGTATTGCTATATATCAATAACTAAGATGCTGAGGAAGTATTCAGGAAATCAATGCCATCCACAGTTACCTCAGAAGAAAATTTAAAATACCTAAGAATAAGCCTAACCAAGGAGGTAAAAGAGTTCCACAACAAAAATCTGAAAACACTGAAGAAAGACATTGATGAAGACACTAGATTGCTCACAGACTGGTGGAATTCATATTATGAAAATGGCTATATTACTAAAACTAATCTCAGATTCAATGCAATTCCCACAGCATGAAGCCATGCCTCAAAAAATAATTTTATTTTTTGTTTGTTTTGAGACAAGGTCTTCCTGTAGCCCCAGCTGGCCTGGAACTCATTATGTAGACCAGGTTGGCCTCGAACTCACAGAGATCCACCTGTCTCTGCCTCCTGAGTGCTGGGATTAAAGGCATGTGCCACCACACCCGGCTTCAATAACATTCTTTACAGAACTAGGGGGAAAAAAGCAATCCTGAAATTCAGATGGAGTTCCAAAAACCAAACCCAATCAAACCAAACCAAAGGATGAAGAAGAAGGAGCTTTCTACTCCCTGGACTTTACTCAACTGGGCATGGTGGCGCATGTCTGTAATCCCAGCACTCAGAAGGCAGAGGTAGGAGGATCATGAACAAACCTGGGATACATAGTGAGTTCAAGGCCAGCCTGGGCTGCATACCCTATCTCAATTCTCTCCCAATTTCAACCCAGGTAGGTAATTTGGAGTTACAAACATAGGCTAGAAATAATGAGAGATAGCTGAGTTAAAAAAGAAAGGATTATTCATGTCTTTTCTGGGAATAAGAGAAATCTTCCAGAAACTCAGTGCTACCTCTTTTCATTCTCTTTCTGGTTTTGTGTTTCCCCTCATGGCAGCTGGTAGGTGTCTCCAGCTTTGAAGGGAGGGATGGGAGAGAGAGAGACACAAGGCAATTTATATCAAATTAACCCTGAATTACAGTGTGGAGGTTTGTGTTTCTTTGTTGTTTAAAATAGGATAGAGTCTGGGCTCAAATTCACTTTGTAGCTGAGGATGACCTTGAACTTCTGATCCTCCTTCTGAGTACTGGATTACATGGGCTACCATGCCTAGTTTATGTGATGCTGGGAATCAGACCCACAACTTTGTGCATATTAAGCAAGCACTCTACCATCTGAGCTACAGTCCTAGCCCTGAACTACAGTTTGAGAACAAAATATTTCTCAAATGATAAACATGCCCACAGGCAAAGATGAGTAGAATTTGACCCAAAGATTTAGGCAACAAAGGACACAGCATGAAGACAGATGCCAAATGGTTTCCTCCTATTCCAGTCCATTGGACATTTGCAGAGCCAAATGAAAAAGAAGTATGTATTTGTTTGTTTTGATACAAGATACGAAGTAGCCTAGACTGGCCTTGAACTCACTGTGTAGCAGAGGACCTTAAACCCCTGATTCTCTTGCTTCCACCTCTCAAGTGCTGGGATTACAGGTGTGTATCACTATGTCTGGCTAAGAGGACTTACTTGGGACAGAAATGGCTTCCAAGTTCCTAAAGAGTAGCTAAGGCTGGTGGTACGGGTCTGTAATTCTAGTACCTAGGAAGCAGATCTCTGTGAATTAGAGGGTAGCCTTGTCTGCATAGTGAGTTCCAGGCCAACCAGGGCTACATAGTGAGACCCTGTCTCAAAAAAAAAAAAAAAAAAAAAAAAAAGAAAAAAGAAAAAGAAGAAAAACTCTAAACAGAAAATGAACAAACCAACAAACCAATACCATCACTAACAAAAAAGATTCCTGAAAAATAACCCAAGCAACCCATAGAAGTGTTGCCTATCACAAAGTTAGTTGTAAACTAGTAATGTATTTCTTCTAAAATTAGTGATTTTTAAGTCAAGTAAAAGCTAATGAAGCAAGGTTTATTAGGCTTTCCATTCAGTAATACCTCTATATGATAATCTTCTGAGACACTGGAACTTTATTTATTTATTTATAGGCAAAGTCTCACTATGTATCCCTGACTTCTTCAAACTTACCTGCCTTTACCTCCTGAGTGCTGGGATTAAAGACCTGTGACACCACGCCTACCCTTATCTTTTGGAGACAGGGTCTCCCTGCCCCAGCTGGCCTGGAACTCGCTATGTAGACCAGGCTAGTCTTGAACTCACAGAGATCAACCTGCCTCTGTCTCCAAGTGCTGGGATTAAAAGTGTGCCACCATGCCTGGTATCCTTGTTTTTTTTTAGACAGGGTCTCCCTGCAGCTCCAACTGACCTGGAACTTTCTATTTAGACCAGGCTGGCCTTGAACTCACAGAGATCCGCCTGCCTCTGCCTCCTTAGTGCTGGGATTAAAGGCATGTGCCACCACGTCTGGCCTTTTTTTTTTTTTTTTTTTTTTTTTTATGTGTATGAATGTTTTATCTGCATGTATGTAAGTGTACCATGTACATGCCTGGTACCCTTGGAGGCCAAAATAAGGCATTGGATCCCCTACAACTGGAGTTACAGATGGTTGTTAACCATTATGTGGATGCTGGGAACCCAACCTGGGGTCCTATGGAAGAGTAGTAAGCGCTCTTAACTGCTGAGTCATCTCTCCAACCCTGCAGGCCCTATTTTTGAGACAGAATCTCAAAGGTCAGACTAGCTTTTAACTCCATCTGTAGGCCAGGCTGGCCTAGACCTTGAAATCCTCCTGCCTCTGCTTCCTGAGTGTGTGCACACACACACACACACACACACACACACACACACACACACACACAGAGTAGGTAATCTATTTATGTGATGCAAATTTAAAAGGCACCAAACCAGGCCTGGCGTGGTGGCGCACGCCTTTAATCCCAGCACTTGGGAGGCAGAGGCAGGTGAATCTCTGTGAGTTCAAGGCCAGCCTGGTCTACATAGTGAGTTCCAGGCCAGCTGGGGCTACAGAGAGACCCTGTCTCAAAAAGACCAAAAAAAAAAAAAAGGCACCAAACCAAAACATCTTAGAGTAAAAAACTCTCAGTCTGGGTGTGTGGCTCTAAATTGCATTGCCAGTGGCTATGTCTTTCCACTCAGTCAGTAGAGAGACTTAGTTATTCCAGCACTGTTGCCAGCAGCCTGGGGAACTCCCTTCCCACACGGGGACTCCATTTATGTAAGCTGGATCCTTGACTATATCACAAAAAGAATTTCAGGATGAACCAGAGCTAAGAAAAGTTAAGCGGCACATGACTTTAGTCCCAGCAGAGACAGATGGATCTCACAGGGATCCAGGCCAGCCTGGTCTACTAGGTAGTTCCAGGCCAGTTGGGGCTACAGGGAGACCCTGTCTCAAAAAGACAAAAAAATAAAAAAAGAAAAGAAAGAAAGAAAGATTAAGTGAATATAAAGAACAGTACCAAGACACGGATATGGACTTCAGTGTATTTACAGTGACAACCTTTATGTAATTCTTTTTCTTTTTCTTGTAGCCCAGGTTGGCCTTGAACTCCCTATGTAGCCGAGGATGATCTTGCACTCCTGATCTTCTGAGTTCCACCTCTGAATCTTAGGGATTTGTGCTTGCTAGGCAAACTGTACCAACTGAACTATATTCCCAAACCCTTGGCTCTGTATCTTTCTAAATCACATTGCTCAATGGATGTCATTTGAGCTGGGTGTGGTGGGGAATGCCTGTCATCTCAGTACTTGGGAGGTGGAGGAAGAAGGACCAAGAATTTAAGGTCATCCTCAGTTACATAGTGAATTCAAGGCCTACTTGGGCTACAGGAGACTCTGTCTCTAAAGACAAACAATTGTTTGATTTT